AAATTCTTTTGAAAGTGTGGCATATTTTTCGTAAATAGTCTGTGTATTTTTTCATCCATTCTAAGCATTTCTTCATCTCTCTCCCTCCCATCCTCCCTGTTGTCCCATTCCTTCAGCCACCAGCAAACATCCGAGATAGCAGAACCAGGAATTCACTGAGCCAGAGTGAAGACTCAGTGTCAGGCTCCCAGACCGAGTCGCACACTCTGCACTCAGCTCCCTATGCCTGCCCTGCCTTCCCCACTCTGATGGACTGAAATGCCTCTGTAGCCATGGCCCGAAATCCACACTGCTCCCTGTGCCAGCCTGCCCTGCCCTCCCCGCTCTGATGGACTGAAATGCCTCTGTAGCATGGAGATGTCATTTTAGGAGCCCACTGCGTCGTCATAGCAGCTCTGCCATGTCCACTTGCTGAAGTAGGGGCTCTGAACATGCTCAGATGGGACTGTAAGAGGCACCACCTCGCATGTGCCTTTAAGGACTTGTCTGCAAGCCCTGAAGACAGAAGCCCTGACCCATCCATGGCTCCCACCAAACCTGCTCCATTCCCACTACACCGCAGTTCACACTAGAGGACCTCTTGTTCTGAACAGAACACTTCCAACATAAGGCTACATAGCAAAACTCCAGACTGAGAAGACCTACATTGTAGTCTCAAGAAAGGAGGACATCATGGCATTCCCCAGCCTTTGCAAAGCCCTAAAATTCCATCCAAACTTCTCTAAATCAGTCTCAAGCAACTCTAACAATATAGCAAGGGTTTCTATAAAATATAAGGAAATTATCAAGGATTTTTATAAAGTATAAGGAAATTATCAAGGGTTTCTATAAAGTGTAAGCAATTAAATGCCAGCCTAAGAGTTTACCACTTATCTCCATCGGATGAGCACTAAACTCGTAAGTTTGCCTGCAGTGGGTGATGGCTTAAATGCCTTCATCTTTTCTACTACACCTCTGCAAGCGTCCAGAAAATAGACTCAATACGAGAGTGGGTTCTTATGAAGAATGACATCACATTAACTCACAAATAAAGACTTTTAAAATGTGTTTGAGTGTTTTGTCTTCATGTATATATGTGCACCACATGCAAGCCTGGTGCCCATGGAGGTCAGGGGTCAGGAGAGGGAAGAGGTCAGAAGAGGGCAGAGGACAGGAGAGGGTGGAGGTCAGAGGTCAGGAGAGGGTGGAGGTCAGGAGAGGGCAGAGGGCAGAAGAGGGTGGAGGTCAGAAGTCAGGAGAGGGAAGAGGTCAGAAGAGGACAGAAGGCAGGAGAGGGTAGGGGGGTCAGAAGAGGGCAGAGGGTAGGAGAGGATGGAGGCCAGAAGAGGGCAGAGGTCAGGAGAGGGCAGAGGTCAGGAGAGGGTGGAGGTGAGGAGAGGGCATAGGTCAGGAGAGGGTGGAGGTCAGAAGAGGGCACTGGATCCCCTGGAACTGAGTTATGAATAGTTAGTTTTGAAAGGTCCGAGCCATCATGTGTGTGCTGGGAAATGAACCCACTCCTCTGCAAGAGTAACAAGTGCTCTTAATTGATGAGCCATCTTTCCAGCCCCTAACTCACACATAAAAAGGACCACCGAATATGTGTTCATCCACTCCTGAGCATGCATTTAAAGAGGTTTGTGGTGAGGAGGAGATGGCTGTCTGTGCAGCGTGAGAATGGCACCCTGGAGCAGGACATGGCACTGTCCCTGCCCAAGCTTCATCCGTGAACTGATCCAAGGAAGTGGCCACTGTCTTTACCTCATGACCCTTGACCCTCAAGAAAAGGACAGTGACCTACACCCGACATCACAGATGGAAAACTCACAAGAGACACATCTTTGTGCTTCCTGTGCTGGCAGCACCTGCCTCTCAGTGATGTCACTGTGCTCTCACAACTGCTTCTGGGGGTGTTTGGCTCTGCACCTGTCTCTCCTGTGAAACTCTGACAGCCAGCAATAAGCTGTCCGTTCATAGAAAAACCGCTTTACTTCCCAACGTGCAAAGTCTCAGGATTCAAAGCAAATTTAGTCCAAATTGACATGAAGCAGACTCTTTGCAGAGGAAGCAGGGGGATGACTGTGTGCATTCTGCATCCTCTTCCCATCACAGGCAACAGAGCCGCCTTCTCTGGAGAGCACCGCCAGCCGGGCTGCTGCGGCGTTTCTTCTGGAAGAGTGGGTGGGGGGAGAGCAGCTTATAGCAACTGATCTTATTGTGAGAGTCTGGATATTTTCAGGGTGTGTTCAGATTAAACACCCTCTTAACTCATAATCCTCACAAAGTATGCCAAGTCTAAGCCTCCCCAAGGGGCAGCAGGCTAATGAAGCTTACAAGGGAGCCCTGGAAAACTTGTCAGCAACACGCCTTTCCATCTCCGCTTGGGATTTTTAGAAATATTAAATCCATTTGTTCTTTTTGCTTTGCAATTTTTATCACATCTTTACCTGCGCCTCTTCCCTTCTACAGTATTCTGTATCATTTTGCTAAAAAGTTTGCATTAACAAGCCTGGAGGTCTGTGATGCAGGCCTGTGATGCCAGTCAGCTGGAGAGGCCGAGGCAGGCAGATGACAGGCTGAAGGCATGCCTCAGCTACAGAGCAAATTCAAGGCTGGGTTGGGCAACTCAGTGAGACATTGTCTTCAAATGAGAGGTAAAAAGAGGCCCAGAGGGGCTGGAGAGATGGCTCAGAGGTTAAGAGCACTGACTGCTCTTCTGGTGGTCCTGAGTTTAATTCCCAGCAACCACATGGTGGCTCACAAACATCCCTAATGAGATCTGGTGCCCTCTTCTGGCCTGCGGGTATACATGGAGGCTGAACACTGTGTACATAATAAATAACTAACTAAATAACTAAATCTTTAAAAAAAAAAAAGAGGGCCAGAGATACATTTGTTTAATGCTACAGCCCTTGCCTAGCATTATGTGCTAGGCCCAGGGTTCGATCCCCAGCACTGAAAATAAATATAACTGCCGCTCAAACGGTAGCTACCGGCCACATGAATGCATAGTTAATCATCTGAACTAAACTGTAGAGCATAGTCTCCTGTCACTCCAGTCGCACAGCCAAACATCGGAGCCTCACGAGCCCTGGGAACACTGTTATCATCGCAGAATGCGCGATAAAGCAGAAATTCTTCACAAACAAAGGGCTGTGCAAGAAACCACAAGACGGTTGTCAATAGTATCTTAATATGTCTGTGGTCTGAATCATTTCCCAGAATTGCTCTGCACCACAGAATAAGATGAACTGTTGTGAATCAGAAGTTCGCAGAGGCCCTGCTGACTCATTTCCGCCCTGCTCTGGTCCTTCTTCCTCACTTTTCTCTTGTATGTATCGACTTCTATGGCCACATGGCCAGGTGCTATAGGACACAGGGACAAGGTTCCTTCTAAGTGTGGTGTTACAGGGGCAAGACTGGAGAGGGTGGGCCAGGAAGAAGGTTCCTTGAGGAGGTTCCCACCCCTCTAGTGAGGATGAACCTAGGGCCTCACACGTTAGGTAAGTATTATGCCACTGTGCTATATCCCCAGGCCCCTTTTTAGTTTTTATTTTGAGGCAGGGCTGCCTAGGCTGCCCTTAAACTCACGATACTTCCTGCCTCAATCTCCCTAGAGTTGGACATGTCTGCGTTTGTTGGGGACATCTTTAAAGCTATGCTGAGACACAGGCTCAAAGGGTGGAACAAGAGAAATATCAGCGTGTCCAACCTATAGGAACGGCCCAGAGACTGGCTTTCCCTCCAGCCGGCCAGCTGGCAGTCCCCAGTGTCTGGCTATTGCCCGTGCCCAGAGGTTGCATCTGCTGAAGAGAGATGCCTCTAGGTTAAGCGTTTCCTCCAGGAGAGGTTTACATTTAATAACCAGATGATAGAGTTATAAAATCCCGCCCCTCTTCTTCAGTCTCAAGATCAGTACAAACTGTAGAGTGCCTTGTGGAGTCACCATTTGTTGTGACTGTGTCTCAGTCTAACTTGTCCTTGGCCAATCCTGTTCTTTCCTTCCCTTCTCAGCCATAAATCTCAAGACGACTCCCAAGTCGCTCCTTTCATCACCTCTCTGTCTCCCACCTCAACAGCCCATAAGCCTTGGAACCCCGTCTTTACACGCATGCACACGCACACGTGCACAAGGATACACACACACACACACAAATACACGTATAGGAACAGCATATTTTGCAATACTAATATATCAAAAGAAAAAAATCATGTAACTATTCCAATCACCATTAAAACACATTTAAAAATAGCTCACACCTCTGAATAAAAAGTGTTTACTTAGTGAAATAGGAATGAATGAAGTCTGCATGCATTGATTTAAAAATTAATCACTAATAGCCAATATCAGCCTCAGTGATATTTTTAAATTTTTCTTTTTTGTTTACTTAAGTACTGGGCATAGAACCCAGGACCTTGGGTATTCTAGGTAAATGCTCTATTAATGAGTTACACCCCTAGTCTTTGGTGTTTTGTCTTGTTTTGAGATGAGGGTCTTTTTTTTTTTTTGAGACATGGTTTCTCTGTGTAGCCTTGGCTGTCCTGGAACTTGCTTTGTAGACCAGGCTGGCCTTGAAATTACAGAGATCCACCTGCTTCTGCCTCCCAAGGGTTGGGAGTAAGCCATGCACCACCACACCTGGTGAGTGTTCTTAAGTACCCTAGAATGCTCTTAAATTTGTCATCCTACTGTCTCAACTTGGAAACTAATTTATAGTAAGAGAAATCCTTAAAGAGCAAAAGAGAACTGAAGATTAGCAGTAACCAAGTCTAGGACAGAGTGAGACCTCGGAGTCCTAAATCTTCCTTCCCTCCTTTGGCTATGGCAGCGTGTTTGATGCTACTGACCCCGCTGGACACAGTCACCCTTGGTCACAGTGCTTGATTCTATAGGGAAATGCCAAGACCACAGCTGCATGGCAAATGTTTCTGTCTCTTTAAGCCGTCATCATCCGGCCTTTCTCTGGGTTTCCTGATCTCGGGGACCCAGGCCGCCCAGTGACTTCCTCTCTGCTCAGCACCGAAAGACCAAGAGACCTCTTTACTCATGGCTGAAGGGAAGGCAGGAGTTTTCTGGGGCTTCTCTTGGCCACTTTAAAATCTGTCACCAAGAAAGGTGAGCCTGAGCCTGTGAGCAGGGTGGAGAGGGGGCTGGGCTGTGAGACCAAAGTGTCTGCTGCCTACACACCAGCATTTTACAAAGCACTACACAGGAGCATACCCTGCAAGCACATGCGGCGCAGGCAAGAGCGGGCGTCCAGACGCCTGAGGGGTGGTCTGGGTTTCAACTTGAGCAAGTTCAGAGGAAGTCTTAGGAGTACACAGATTTTTGATGGGCAGATCTTGCTTCTTCCCAAACTTCGTTCATACAGTATGAGAAACCTATTCTAGATCCCATTCCAGGAGCAAAGCGCGGTTTAGAAGATACCATTCCTCAAACTGCACATTCAACAAACGCAGAAGATGCTTCTATGTCTCTATAAACCATGCCTTCAAGGCCAGTCTTGATGTGCCAAGTCTGCACCCCTCTGAAGTCTCTTAATCTCACACCTGTATGCGTGTGCATGGGGAAGGGGCTCTAACACACCTCAGAGGAATGGAACTTGGTCATCAAGCCCTGTCCCCACCTGTCATTTAAACCTTTGCTTCCTGATTGAAGTTTGTCCCGCTCCAACTATAGGGACCTCACAGTTTTTTCATGTCTACAGTGAAGAGTTGGAGAAATAGCTCATTTTCAAATGCTGGGTGTGGATTAACCTCATGAGGAACGATCCACTTGTTCTAGCAAAACCACCGAGGATGGGTCCAAGAGATGCGATGTCCAGGGGAACACCTAAATATTTCCAAGAAACATCAAGACAAGAAACTAGATAACTCCTGAGCTCTCTTAAGCATGTAGAACTGTTCTTGTTTTATATTCCCAGATAATAAAAGCCATTTGTCACCCAAGATTTCATTCATTATTTTTTTTTTCCTCTTTGGCTTCCACTCTGAGCTCCGGGGAGTCCTGGGGGCCTGCCCTGGCCTCCCCTGAGTCCATGCACACAGTTCATTTCTCCCAGGACAAGGTCTTCAAGCTCCTGCAGAAGTCTTGTTCGCTGCTCTCAGTCTTGTGGCTGCTTCTTCATTTCTGCATTATTTGTGGGAATTTGCTGATTCCCGCACCCAGAATGGTGAAACAGAGCCACACAGTGAGTTCTACTAAAGGCTTTGGGGAGAGGGAAGAGGTGCTAACCCAACCTATTCCCAAAGCCCCTCTAGGGAGACAGGGTGTTGAGTTATCATCTTCCTTTTTCGTGTGTGTGGTGCCCACAGGGGGGAGTGTGGGAGGAAACCCATCACCCCTAGTGGAGACAAAGAGACAGATTCTGAAATGATGAGAAATGCAGACAAGCACTCAGATGAGAGTGTGGGAGCAGAGCTCTCACGAGAGAAAAGCCAGCGAGGGCTGGAGAGTCTGAATCTCGGGTCTGTGCAGTCACAGACTGAGGCCTGTTCACTGGAAATGAGGCTGGAGCAGCAGACTGAGGGGACACCGTGCTTTGTACTTAGGGACTCCTGGGACCAGGCACACGTGACCAGAGCGTGCTTGGCTGTATCGAATAACTGTGCAGTCAGAACATCTTTGGTGGAAGGGAAGTTGCTTAAAGAGAAGGGCTCAGAAACCCATAAGACAACTTCATGGGTTTGGTTCTTCCATCCATCTTTACTGGGCTCAGGAGAGCAAGCTCAGGTTGTCAAGCTAGCACTGCAACCATCTTTCTGGTCCCCACGGAAACTATTCTTCAAAAATCCAGATGCTCTCGATAAGAAGGAAGAGCAGATTTTCCTGTGGTGGATAAAGGCACCCACCATGTCTCTGCTCAGCTGGCCCCTAAAGCCTTGCTTTGCATTGCAGTGTCCTTGCTCTTTAGACTTAGCCTGACATTGTGGCTGGTTTTGCCCGTCTGCAGGAATGAGCGCATGAATGAGGAAATCGTGACTGAGAGTCCTGAGAAGCATGGGAGGAAGGAAGATGGCAAGAGACGAGGAAAGCACCTATGGTAACAGCCCTTCTCTCAATGCATCCCGGCTGGTGTGGGCGCTAAGGGTAGGAAGTGGGTGGAGCTTCCTCAGATCTGGGAGCCCCTGGGATGAAACAGCAGGACCCATTTGACTGTGTCTCTGCCCCTGCCCTGTGTCACAGCTTTGACCCCCCTCCCCCATCACTGGTTCCCACAGCATGAAGGAGGATCCTAAACCTACTCTGGTCTTCACAAAAATGACACAGAGGATGGGAAACCCAGTACTAGAGTGAGCCTCACTCACCAGGTCTCCAGTGTTAGAATAGAGGGCTAACTGCATATTTAGTATTTGGGGGGTTGGGGAGATGACTCTGGGTAAAGGCACAAGCAGCCAGGACAGATGGGTTGACTTCAACCCCTGAGCCAACCGATGCAAGGATGGAACTGAGTCCTGAAACTCGACCTTTAGCCTCCATAGGACACAGTGATATGGCGTCCCCATAGATAAAATGTAACAAAATATTATCTAAAGCGGGGCTTTCTCTTTAAGGAGCCGGCTTAAGACAAGAGAGGAGAAAGAGGGAAGCAGGTGAACTCTCCTCTCTAACAGCCCAGGGAAAGGCCCACATTGTCTCCACTTCCATAGGAGAGGTGTGCCCTAGCCTGAGCACTTCCTGCCCTTACACAAGCTAAGCACTTGGTGGGCTACCATCCAACCTGTGCCTGGGGCTGAGGGGCTCCCCTGTGCTTGATGACCAGCATCTGTGGGGAAAACATTAGGGTCAAATCAGCATCAAGTCGGCCCTGTGTGTGCAGGACCAGAGATCCTGGTAGACCCAGGAGTTATAATGGACTCTTTCTGAAAGGCAGCGGGAGCACCTACAGGTGCAGAGAATACAAGGGCAGAGAGGGAAGATGGGGAGAAGCCTGAGCTCTGAGAGCCCAGAGCAGATGGGCGCGCCAGCTTCCAAGGGGAGCAGGCACTGCCGTTCGTTCCCTTTCGGGCTGAAGTTTAGAACATAGGCAAGTCCCAGGGAAAAGCCGTGTCTCTGACTCAATGTTGCCCTATCTGGTCCTCAGGCTTGGAGGAGGATTCACACGTCCCAAAGGGGCCCCCACTGAGGCTCATCCTGGTAGGTAGAACCGGAACCGGCAAGAGTGCCACTGGTAACACCATCCTGGGCCGGACATGCTTCGAATCCAAGCTGGGGGCTGTGCCTGTTACCAGATCCTGCTCCTGGGCCAACAGGAAATGGGCCGGCTGGTATGTTGAGGTGGTGGACACCCCGGATGTCTTCAGCTCTGAGGTCAAACAGACCGACCCTGCGTACTTGGAGACAGCCCACTGCTTCCTACAGACGTCGCCCGGGCCGCACGCGCTGCTGCTGGTCACCCAGCTGGGTCGCTTCACCACTCAGGACAGCCAGGTGCTGGCCGGGGTGAAGCGGGTGTTCGGGGAGAAGGTGATGGCGCGCACTATTGTGGTGTTCACTCGCAAGGAGGACCTGGCAGGAGAGTCTCTGCAGGATTACGTGCGATGCACAGACAATCGCGCGCTGCGGGAGCTGGTGGCTGAGTGCAGGGGCCGCGTGTGCGCCCTAAACAACCGAACCACTGCCCGCGAGCGCGAGGCACAAGCTGAAGAGCTGCTGGGCCTGGTCGCTGGTCTGGTGAGGGAGCACGGGGGCGCGTACTACTCCAATGAAGTGTATGATCTGGTGAGGACCCTGCGGGGCTCTAACCCCAAGGACCAAGTCAGCAAGGTGGCAGAGATGGTGGCAAGACGCATGCAGAGGCCCCTGCGCACCAGGCTGCTAACTGGGCTGTGGGACTGGCAGAAATCTTACAGGAAGAGCTGGAGACGGGGCGTGGCTATTTTCCTGGGTGTGGCCTTCCTGATCTACCTGCTGGTCTATAGAAAGACGCCTCAGGCCATTGGGGACCAGAATAACAGATAATGCTGGTCTTAGAAGATGTTTTAACTAGGAAGAAAATCTTTTAAAATAGGAATACTTAGATCTCTGCTCAGAGCTCGTAGTACTGCGGGAAACACGGTATCAGCTTTGCAAAGGCTTCGGAGGTAATGAGTTTCAACTTTAACTATTTGATTTAGAGTTTAAAAAAATAAAATTTGTCTAACTAAAGTTTTCCTTTAGACCTTTTCATCATCCCTGTGGGTCATTTTCCGCTTAAAACAACAAATACTCCTGGTAGCTTGTAAATGGGGACAAAATCGCAGTACAAAGAGAACAAGCATTTCTTTTCTTTTTAAAACTTATTCTTTGATACTTTCATATAATAAATTTGGGTCATATTCTCTCACTTTCCCAAAGTCCTCCCAAGTCCCCACCACTTCCCTCCTCTAGGAACTTCATTTTTTATTTTTTGTTTGTTTTATGTCTTAACAGCACAAAGCTGGATTTGTTGGCCAATACTCCTGAGCATGAGGCCTGCCCTGGGGTGTGGCTGATATACCCAGTGTCACTTCATTGAAGAGAATCCATTTTCCTTCCTCCAGGAGTTATGATTTGTGACTAGTTTCTTGGTTGGAGGGGGCATTTATGTCTGGCTTGCACTTGCTTGGGTGCTGGGCATGCCGCCACAGCCTCTGTGATCACGTGTACACCTGCCCTGTTGTGTCTAGAAAGTTGTTTTCCTGAAGTCACCCAGAAGCTGAGGCTCTTAGGGTCCTCCTGTCCTCCCTCCCACAGAGATCTCTAACAAGATGGTGGCCAGGAGTTTCTTCCCTGTGCTCAAACCAAAGCCCAGGGTCTGGAAACTGGCTCCCTAAATAACAGTCACGAGGACAGAAGGGTCACTGCCTGCTTTCTAGAGAACACAGGCACGTGGCTTCTTTGGGCTTAGTTTGTTTCTCTGTGAAAATAGATATTGAGTTTGGAAGCTATCAAAATTTTTTCATTTTTTTTTCTTTAAACGAAGGGATTATTTCAAGATAGGCTTGATGGCACATGCCTGCCACTCAGGAGGCAGAGGCAGGAGGATCAGATAGGTGTTCCTAGCTCAGGGCCCTGGGTTCAATTTCTAGTTTGGGAGGGGGTATTAATGTGTGAACTCTTGACAGTTAGGTTTCTGAGAGATTCTGGCTTTGTGTGAAGAGTTACAACCTGCCAGGATGGATCAGGGTCTGTTGATTTCCTTCCCACCTCCCACCCTGCCCTAACAAACTGAACCAAACTCACTCCAGCGCTGTCTGCTAGGTTGAAACTACATGAAAATGTAAAAGCCGAGGGGTGAATAAATATCAAAACAAGAAAAAAACTCTAACAGGAGCAGAACCATCCCTCAGAATTCTTTCTCTTTTCCTTCCTTCTTTCGTTCTTTCTTCTCTCTCTTTCTTAAAAAAAACCAAACACCAGAAGCCATTAGACCCCTTTGTCCTTCCTATCCCCCTTTGCTTTGAGATGTTTATCTTTTAAAATCCTTTTTTCCTCTCCAGGTGAAGAGCAGAAGGAGCTGGTGGAATGCAAACATCAGGGAAGGTCAGACCCTGCTCCTCAGGGACACCGGCTCTAACTTAGGTTGAAGCCCTCTCCTCCCATCGCAGACCTTCCTCTTGCCCGAAGGATGTGGGGAGCTCATTTCCCTCTGGATAAAAACACTACCAATTAGGAGAAAGGGCAGTGACACTAATAACAGGGCTACCACATCCTCTGGAGGAAGAGCTATGGCTTCTTATTAGACTGTCTCACTCCGTGGCCTAGGCTGCCTTCTAACTCAAGGCAATCCTCCTGCTTCAGCTCCCTGACAAACAATGATAAGAAAAAGCCACCATGCTCAGCTTGAGTTATGTCTCCTCTTGAAAATGGATGCAGAGGACTGCATCTATCTGGTTTAAACTCTCCCCACCACCCCACCTCACTGCAGTCTCTTAGCATGTCACCTCCTCAGCTCCCCTGAAATCCTAGTATCCATAATCTAAAGCCAAGCACACTTCCTGTCAACAGAAAGAATCATGGGGGAATTCTGAGATGAGAACCACCTGCATAAGCCAGAGCTGGGTTTTATGCTCAAGGTTCAATACTTAACAGGTGCAGTCAGGTAAAGAAATGCTCCACACAGCAGAGAAGAGGCAGTCAGCACCCCGTCTCATGTCTGAGGTCAGATGCTCTTTGAGGGGGATGTCCAGGCCCTCTGGGACCAGCAGTGCTTTTCTGCCCCCGTTTAGGGGACCCGTCTAAAGACAAAGTGATCACATGGTGCCCAGGGTCTTGGGGGCGAGCAGATGCTCACCTTCGGTGCTAACGGGGAATCCCGGGCCCAGCACTTTCCAGTCTTAAGAGGGTTTTCTGGAACCTGGGGGATGGGGCTGTCCTCCACCGCCCAGCATCTGACTCCCAATGCTTTGTGTGCTCAGACCTTTCTGAAGAGGAAATGAGTAGGGCAGGGCGGCCTGTCAGCTTTCCACAGGAAGCGGCCATTTACCACGGCAGCTTTGCTGTGTTCTGGCGGATTTCAGGTCAGCGTTCAAGGCCTTTTCCCCGACTTTAGGGAAGAGCCTGCGGGGCAGTGGCATGTGCTGCATCACCGTGTTTGTCCTTCTTTTCCTGACTCTGGAGTTACGGCTCTGCGAGTGGCCTTTCTGTGAGAGCATCATCCAGCAGGCACAGGTCCTCTGCCTGCCTGCAAGTGACTCACGCTGGTGACTGGAGGCTGAGCCCTGCTGGCCCGGGTAAGGAGGAGGCTCTGACAGCCACTTGGGGACTGGGAGGACCAACGGGGACCTGTTCTGCTCCTCTTTAGCGGGCCCTCAGGCGAGCTCTGGTACTTTGGGTCCCCTGGACAGTGAAGTGAGCATCAGCGACAGCACATGGTGGGGGAGGGCCCTGAAATTTCCATGCCATCATCCCCAGACCCATGGGGATGCTGGGACTTTCCGCCCCATTGCCTGCGCCTTTCTGAAACCCTCGGTTTAACAAAGCTGAACCAATGTTCTTTCCTCTTCTACAGGAGGGAAATTAAAGTCCCAGCTCCCACAGGTTTTTCCCAAGATCCCCAGCGAACCCTTCTCCATTTTTACCTCAGACTCCTCAAAGCCCACTCAGGTCAGACAGGCTTCACCCCTAGGAGGTCAGCATGGGGTCTTAAGGCTCTACAGACCAGGGTGGAATCTCCGTGTTCCCTCCATCATGATCCAGTCCTCCCCTAGAAGGCCATCAGTGAATTCTATCTCCTGACCTCATTCTGAAACCACCCTATTCTTTCCAGTCTGCGTAGCCCACACCTTTCCTATAACACAGCCCAAGACACTGTGGCAGGCCAACAGCCGTGAGTTCAAGACTCCTGTGAGCGCTCCCCTTGTTAGCTGAATCTTACGGGAGAGGGTGGTTTTCCTGGACTCTTGGTCACCAACATGCTCTGTTACTCCAGGACCTGGATATAAAGGCGAGGGGAGAGGCCGATGGGTGGAGCAGACGTCACTGAAGATGTTTTTGTTTAATTTAGTTGTGTCAGAGAGTGCAGCACACACCGGTGCTACGGGACTCTTGTAGAGGTAGGAGGACAGCTTTCTGAAGCAACTTCTACCCTTCTACTTGGTACAAACAGCATCTTTCTTGTTGCTGCTACACCATGGGCTTGCTGGCCTGACTGCTTCTGGCCATGTCTCCTCTCTTCACCGGCTGCCTCGCTGTGGGAGACATTGGGATTGCGGACGCAGGCAAGCATCTCCTGCTTTTCACTAGCGTTCTGGGCCTAAGAGTCAAGTCCTCAGCTTGTGCAGCCGTTGCTCTGCCCCTGTGTCATAGCTGCCAGCCTGGTTCTTGCGCATCAGGAAGCCAGAAAGACCGTCTCTCAGAAAGTGGCTCCCTGAGCTGTGTTCTCACTGCGGGGTAAAATAAAGCATCCTGGTGAATCAGCTCGGCTGGCTTCAGACAAGAATGTTCATTTCGTGTGTTAGCTTCTGCCTGCTCCCCGAGTGACACCTGCCCCCTGGTCACCCACTGCCGCTCACACGCTGCCTGCCAATCTCCCGTGGCCTCTGCACCCACCTCTGAAATTGGCAGAATTTTCCTTTTGGAGCAGAAATCTATGTCCATTCTCGATCACCCCACTGTTGTGTGTCTGCAGGCTGACAGCCACAGCATCAATTCCTGTCCCTCACACGCCCCGCCCCCTTCCTTTTCCTAGGCTGTTGTCAGTCTCTTCTCCTGTGTGACCATTTCAGTGTCTCCTTCTCATGTGCCCTGTCTCATCTCTGGGCATGTGGGCATTGGCTCATATCTGGCAACGACTTTGTCCTTTAGTGGGACATATGTCTCCTGTAGTCCGTCTGATTTTTTGGAAACCAATTCAGAACTTCCCTACTAATGTTGCTGAGTTGGGTTGTGACAGCCACATTGCACACAAGCCAGGTTCTAACGAAATCCTTCAAAACAGAACAGACACCCCAGGTGGGTCCAGGACAGCAGGCTTATTGATTTATTACGAATTATCTCCCCCAACTCCCCATTGGGTGAGAAGTCCAAGAGACACAGGCAAAAAGAGCTATTTGGGGAGAGTTAGCTGTGAGGCAAATGTGTGACTCTGGGCAGCCTTGCCAGTCCTCCTGCCCTCCTTCCTCTCAGGTCAGTTCTTGGAGGAGTCGCCATCCTCCCAGGGAGAGCCTGTTGTATTTGTCTCTTTGCTTCTGGAACATTTTCCCACGCTGGAAATGCCCGATACTTCAGACAAACCAATGTTATTCACAGCACAGCAATTATTTTCTCTATCCTGGCAGGTTCGTCTACTTTGGTTCAGGGTTTTTTTTTTTTTAAGTCTAGTTCTTGCCCATAACAGAATGCTCCACATATTTTATACTTCCAGCTTGGTGGAGTGTAGAAACCCTACACCTGTCTTAAGGCACCGCACTACAGGACCATTCGCGAGCCAGGCAAGGGCCTGGAAATTGAAACACACAAACACTCACAGACAGAGACACGGGTCATCCTCGAGGCCAGAATGCCCCCTTTATTGTGTCCAGGGCCAGCTTACATAGGGATCCTTAACTGATAGTGATGCCCCAGCCAAACCCACCAGAAACCACTCCCCTGCCATCAGGAACTCCTGAGGGTCTCGCGCTCAGAGCAGCTGCAAGCATTACAAGTTGTTTACCAGAAATTCAGGATCTGGGAGTTCACAGCTCCCAACAGTGGAGAAGATCATTCGTTCATCTGCAGGAAATGCCTGCTTTCCCACGAGTGAGGAGGAGCAATAGCACACTGTCTGTGCTGCAATGCCCCTGCCTCACCCCAGCCAGTTACTTACAGATGTTTGCAGTCAACATAGGTGCGAGAGTTAGCCGTGGAAATGGCCATGCGAGGACAGTTACCCCGAGCTACCTGAGTCAAAGCGCCTCGCCAGTTCCCACGTGGACGTGACTTTAATTCTTTCCTGTTTCGGTTCCAGAAGAAATGGAAGGCCTCTGGAAGAGCACATATGGAGCCATAGTTGAAGGTAAGAAAGCACCAAGGTCCTGAAGGGACCGAGACCCAAAACAGGTTCAGACGCTCAAGATCAAGGAGAAGACAACTGCCGTTTGTTCCGAGTCTCCAGATCTCTGTGTCCAAGCCGCTGCTGTGTTCATGTACACATATGCACACATACATACACACAGGCATACACATACACACGCACAGAGACACACATGCACAGACTCACATGCTTGCAAACACACACATGTGCGCACACACTCCATGGTGACACTCTCCTCCACACGATGTGGTGAAACGTGATTCTGACACACGTTCAGGGTTAGAAGGGCCTGCAACTAAACAGCGACAGAGTTTCTCTTTCCTCCCTCATCTCCTCTCAGCTGAGAGAGAGACGGGGGGGGGGGGGGGGATAAGAAGGGAGGGAGAGAGGAAGAGAGGGAGGAAGGGAGGAAGGAAGGAATTTGCCCTAAAGTGATTATGTCTTACAGAACACCCCCATAACACTAAGGGAAATTAAAACCAGCACAGAGTAAAGGGAATCAGCTGTGATCCTGAGAATTGAGCCCTGAGCCTTACAATCTTGGATGGGCACTCTACCACTGAGCCATCCTCAGCTTTCCCCCATGACAGATTTTAAGGAGTGTACAGGGCACTTAAAACTCATTTGGACACAGGACAGCCCCCTGTCCTCATCCCTTCAAGGCTGGAGATCTGAGCTCTTGTCTTCATGGTGTCCCTCCAGGACTCCTCTTGTTACAGGCCCTGGGCCACGCCCAGCAATAGATGGCCTTTCTAGCATGTCTGCTTCCGATTCTAACCGTCTTCTCTCCCACCCTTCTGCACCCGCTCACTTTGTATCATTTCCCTGATGTTAACTGTCGCCATCCCCCACGTCAAATCCAAGTGCCCCTTTTGCTTCTTAGGCTAATCCAGCTGTCTCTGAGTGTGAGCCACGGCAGCTCTTCCATCTGGAGTGACCTCGGGGTGAGGGGGCAGGGATAAGCTGAGCACATTCACACAGTATGTCTGGAGCATTGTGGGTAAAAGAGGTGGCTGTCAGCCATGACTTCATCTCTGCCTCCTCCTTAACTAACGCATACTTATTTCACAACCAGTTTTCTGGGGAGCTGCCCTGAGCATCCTCCAGGGGAGAGCACAGGGACCTTTTCTTCAGAAATGGCACATTTGTTGTGGTCCAGATGGAACAGAGCCTCTCCTTCCTGTGGCAGTCCCACCTCCTGCTCCCCCCTGCTCATGTGTCCTAGAATGGGCTCCCAACAGGGACTTCATGAAAGCCAAGGACCACTTAAAATTACAGGCAAACAGTTGGGAGCGTTCGAATGGCACCTACTTCTCTGGAAATGTGGACAATTGATTTCAGGAGATATCAGCAAGGACCCAGGAAGTCAAGCCCAAGACTTGCTGAGTGAGGCACAAACCTACTTTTGTCCACAGGGAGCAGGGAAGCCTACTGTGGAGCAGAATCGGGCTGCCTGAGGATCCTCCTGGTGGGTAAATCTGGCTGCGGGAAAAGCGCCACAGGGAACAGCATCCTCTGCAGAAAAGCATTTGAGTCTAGGCTCGGAGCCCAGTCAGTGACCAGGACCAGCCAGGCAGAGACGGGCACATGGAAGGGAAGGAGACTGCTAGTGGTAGACACGCCCCCCATCTTTGAGTCAAAGGCCCAGAACCAAGACATGGACAAGGACATTGGAGATTGTTACCTGCTGTGTGCCCCAGGACCCCACGTGCTGCTGCTGGTGACCCAGCTGGGACGCTTCACAGCTCAGGACACCCTAGCCGTGAGGAGGGTGAAGGAGATCTTCGGGGCAGGAGTCATGAGGCACATGATTGTCCTCTTCACCCACAAGGAAGACCTGGCAAATGAGACTTTGGATGAGTTTGTGACCCACACTGACAACCACAGCCTGCGCAGCCTGGTCCACGAGTGTGGGAGGAGGTACTGTGCCTTTAATAACAGGGCCTCAGGGGAAGAGCAGCAGGGACAGCTGGCAGAGCTCATGGCCCTGGTGAGGGGGCTGGAGCAGGGGTGTGAGGGCTCTTTCCATAGCAATGACCTCTTCCTTCATGCCCAGGAGCTCCTTAATGGTGGCTACAGTGAGTACCAGGAAGCCTACAGGTGCTACCTGGCCAAGGTGAGGCAGGAGGTGGAGAGGCAGAAGCGGGAGCTGGAGGAGCAGGAGGGCAGCTGGGTGGCTAAGATGCTTTGCAGAGTCAGGACATGCTCGTGCTCTCAAATCGCAGCAGCTGCACTTCTTATTGGGTGTGGTTTGATTTTTATTGGCATTTCAATTAACTTGTATGTTAACCGGTGGAACTGAGCCTTTTCAGGTGATTTCTGCCATCAGCGCCCTCTCCCAAGGTTCACATTTCTGTCTGCACTGGGGTACCTCAGTTTCACGCTCATTTGACTCCCTTGAATCAAGTATGAAAGAAAAAGAACGTATTTCTTAAGTCGTGAGGGTGAATCAAGTAGTTCCATCATAAAGGCCCGGGTGCTAATATTCAGGCATCTGCACTGGCCAGCCCTTAGGGTCCTGACAGGCTGCTCCTCAAGTGCGCCCACTAAGAACACCCCCATGCACATTAGCCATGTTCCCTCATAAAAGTCAAGCCTCGTCACCTCCTTCTCCTTCTCTTTCACCACTCTTGTCCCCAGGGACCAGTCTCTGGCCCTCTCTCTGCCCCCTTTCCTGATCCTTCTTTCCTCTTCCAATATACCTCCACGGTGAGCCCTGCTGTTTGGCTTTACTCCTTCCTGCTGATTTTTAAACTATAATATTGGTGTTGGACCCGCGGCAGGCTCTTCTGGGCTTCCTCTTGCCCACCGGCAGACTGAGGCATGCCAAGACCCCGGATCCCGGTCCACAGATGACAGCCTCACTTGTCCAACTAACAGGTTGCTGAGCTCCGCCAACCAAAATGGGCGTGATTGGTCAGCCTCCCTTGTCTGGCCATTTCCCATGAGTGAGGATTCGTCTCTCCGCCATGGTTTCTCACCTCTGAAACAAGCCCTGATATCAGGCAATCCACGTGTCTCTTGGGGCTCAGCACGCCATGGCCCCTGGACCTTTGGGTGATGACTCACTGGCCAGCTTCTGCCTTCTCAATCAATCCCCTCGGAACTCCTGAACCCTCTGTTCTTTTTATCTCCTTTTAGACTAAGAAAACACATGCCTCAAACATTTTGGGTTGGTAAGGACTTTGTATGATGATAGAAATGTAAAGTTATATGTGATTCAACTCTGGTTTAGAATATACTCTATATCGTGATAAAAATTTAAGGTTATAAAAGTCTATTCAGGAGGTAAACTATTTGAGAAGAGGAAAGATATGAACAAGAGTGGGGAGGGATAAGAGATGGTGTTGGGGACTGAAAATGAACAAAATGTACTATAAAAATGCATGAAAATGTCAAAATAAACCAAGTATTATGTATAAGTTATACATGCTAATAGGAACAGCAATAATGAAACTTTAAAAGAAGTTAAAAAAATTAAGGTCTATTCAATTAACAAAAGCTGACTTAGAGATTTATACCTAAGTACTTACGTCTTTGCCAAGTGTTCAACACCAAGCTTCCAGAGAACTTAAATAAGTGATGTCACATGTTTGATAAATAAGATTTGATAAACAAGATATATATATATATATTCTATAATGGAGTTTCTGGTCTCCCGAGAGGGTCCTTTTCCTAGAGCTGGGCATTTGGGCAGAGGCCCCCATGGCTTGCCAAGGGAAATGCTGGCCTCTGTGCTCCTTCAGTCCCTGCTCACAGGCCCCCTTCTCCTGTTTCCATGTGGCCCTGGTGATCTTTCCTGTCCCTTTTCCTTGTCTTCTCAGGAGACAGCCTTACGAGTGCGGCACAAATTTGTTCTGTTCCACTTTTTACTATTGACTGCCCTCAGTCATCAACCACCTGTCTCCTGGTATCGGATGGAAAGAGGGTGTGAGCTGATGCTGTGGGGATGGGGAAGGACCAGGGGCGTTCAGGTTTGTTTATGTGAAGACGGGAAAGCTTAAGTGCTGACAAGGAGAAAGCGATCTGAGATGTATAAAACAATGAAATGTGTTCCAGATTTCTCGCGCGCGCTCTGTTACTGTTCACAATCTTGACATTAATTGGTGGAATTCTGGTAAGCTATCCGTCTAGCCCTGGCGGAGCACTAAACATTATACTCTACCACTATAGTATCACAGCCAGAAGCTCAGGGTTTCAGATTCTCTTTGGTTGCTTTCTAATGTGTCTAAAACTTATCTCTGTGTAAATCCAAAGTTCTCGTGAGCTCCAGGAGTCGCCTTAAACCCACTTCAAACAGCATTTTGCCAGGTCCACGCGGTGCCTGACTGTTATACAGAGACTGGACAGTGAAGTGAAACAGACAGATACCCCAGGGTATGGCCAACACCCCAGATATCCCAGGTTCCCCAAAGGTGACCGACGCCCCCCCCCCCCCCCCCCGGGTCAGCAGGAAGCAGTCTCGAGAACACGGCATCGTCATCCCTGCTACCCCTTTCTAACTCCTCACCTTTTTATAATAAACAAGAAGGAGGAATGTTAGTATTCAGGCATCTGGACTGGCCTGCCCTTGGGATCATGACAGGATGTACCCTCAGCTGCAGGCACTAAGAACACCCCGTGCACATTGGCTAAGTTTCCTTATAAAAGGCAGGCCTTATCCACCTCCTGTCTCTTCCTCTTCCACCACTCTTGCCCCAGAAACAGATCTCTGTCCCACTTTCTGCCCCTTCTCTGTCCCCTTTTTTGTCCCTTTTCTCTCCTCTTCCAATAAACCTCCCATGTGAGCCCTGTTGTATGGTGTGACTTTCCCTCCCTCTGTTTTCAAAACTATAACACTGGGGACTTTCAAAAAGGAGGATGTTTGGACTGTGTAGCAATGGGTGTGTCTCACCTAGTGCCCCACTTCCTACAGAGGGGATGTTAACACACAAATCTGAGGACAGAATCTTATTTTAGTCATAAGTCCACCCTGATCTCATTATAGCTGTAAAAGTCAGGTCTCCATCCTCTTTCCAGCCCCAAGAAAGGATAAGGACAGTGTTTACGAAGCAGGGGGAGCTAAGGTATACAAGAGAATGGAGTCAAGAAACCTGGGCATGAGTGGGGAATGGAGTGAAGAGGCTACAGGATCTGGGTGGGTCTCATCCCAGGGATTGCAGGGTCGTCAGTCAAGAAACACAGAAACCAGAAAGTCTAAGTTCAGTAATACAGAGAGCCAGTGGGTGGGTGTCTTGGGCTTGGAAGACTGGAGAGTACAATATAGCTGCTCGACACCACATGCAGGCAAAAGCCACTATGATCAAGAGGCTGTGTGCTCATAAAACTTGATGAGCACTGAATTTTGAATTACATGTAGTTTTCATGTGTGAAACTAGAACATTATTTTCCTGAATTCTTCAACCATTAGAAAAAGGTGAAAACGAGTTGGAGAACTACTCAGGGTTTAAGATCACATATTGCTCTGCTGGAGAAGCGGAGTTTGAATCCCAGCACCCACACCAGGCAGCTCACAACAGCCTGTGATCCAGCTCTGGGTGATCCAGCGCCCTCCTCTGGCCTCCACAGGCACTGCACTCACATGTGCACACACAAACTTAAAAATGTGAAAAGCAGGTTGGGAAGATGGATTCAGGGTGGGTGAGCAAAGTGCTTGCCAAACAAGTGTTCACATAAAATCTAAGCTCAGCGTTTAATCCCAGCACTCGGGAGGCAGAGGCAGGCGGATCTCTGTGAGTTCGAGACCAGCCTGGTCTACAGAGCTAGTTCCAGGACAGGCTCCAAAGCCGCAGAGAAACCCTGTCTCGAAAAACCAAAAAAAAAAAAAAAAAAAAAAAAAAAAAAAAAAAATCTAAGCTCAGCGGTGCGCGTCTGTAATTCCAGAACGGGGGGGGGGGGGGGGAGACAGGTGGATCCCGGGGCTCTCTGGCCAGCCAGTCTAATGGAAAAGGCAGAGCCATGGTCAGTGAGAGAAATGCCTTGGAATAAAGCTATCCAATGAAAGAACTCGACAATGAGAACTGTAAAACAGAGAAAGAAACTGAAGAAACCAGAAGATGAAAGGATGATCATATCCACGAGCTGGGAGAATGAATGGCGTGAAAATGTCAATACTCCCAAAACCAGCTCACAGGTTCAATACCGTCTTCATCAAAAGTTCAGTGGTCTTCAAAGAAATAGAAAAAAAATAACATTCTTATGGAAGGAAAAAGATTCCAGAGAGTTAAAGAATAATTCTGAACGAAAGAACAGTGCTGGGGGTTTCAATAACCTGATTTGAAATTATCCTACAGAAGCAGAGTAAAAACAATAATAAAACCCCACAAAACCCAAAACATGGTATTACCATAAAACCAGATACACAGATCAATGGAATAAAATAGAGGACCCAGACACAAATCTCTGGGTTTTTTTTCTCCTTTATTCTTTGGGAGGTTTACCACTCAGCTCCCAAATAATTACACAGAGACTTATTTTTTCTTATGAATGCCCAGCCTTAACTTGTCTTATTTCTAATCAGATTTTCTTTTTTCTTTTTAAATTTTTTATAATTTATTTTTATTTTATGTTCATTGGTGTTTTGCCTGTATGTATGTCTGTGTGAGGGTGTCAGATCTTACAGACAGTTGTGACCTGCCTTATAGGTGCTGGGAATTGAACCTGGGTCCTCTGGAAGATCAGTTAGTGCTCTGTACTGCTGAGCCATCTCTCCAGCCCTAGCCAGCTTTTCTTAAATTATTCCATCTACCTTTTGCCTATGGGTTTTTATCTTTCTCTATTCTATATAACTTTCTTTACTTCTTATTCGTGGCTTGCTGTGTAGCTGGGTGGCTAGCCCTGGGTATCTTCTCTCCTCCTTTTTTCTTTCTCTATTCTCTTCTCTTTTTTTCCTTCTATTTATTCTCTCTGCCTGGCAGTTTCATGTCCCTCTCCTACATAGATATTGGCCAATCAGCTCTTTATTAGACCAATCAGGTGTTTTAGATAAGCAAAGTAACACAGCATCCCAGGGTTAAACAAATGCAACATAAAAGGACATATTTTTGCATCATTAAACAAATGTTTCATAGCATAAACAAATGTAACACATCATCAACTAATATTCCACAACACAAGCCCACACATGTGACTTTGTGACTTTTGACAAAGAAGAAAAAAATAAACCCATACATCAGAGAAAAGAGAGCAAGTGATGCTGGGAAAGCTGAGTGTCCCTGTGTGGAGAAATGAAGCTGTGTCCTTGCCTCTCAGTCTGTGAAATCAGCTCAAACTGCGTGGTCTTGATGTAAGAGCTAAAACTGTAGAAAAAGTAAAGGAACAACTTCAAGATTCAGGTAAGGGGTTTCTGCAAGGGCTCTGGTCACTCTGGAAATGGTGCCAACGATTAGCAGATGGGGTTTTATGAAATTCAAAAGCTTCCGTATGGTATAAGAAACAATCACTGTGTGAGCAGAGACAGCCTTCTGAGTGGGGCAAAACCTTCACAGCTATTCATTTGCCATAGGATTAAGATCCAGATGTACCAAGAACTCAGAAAAGGAAGAAATCAGATGAATACCTAGAAACAGCTAGAATTCGATAGAAAGAAATCCAACAGCACAGCTGATAAATGAGCTAACACACAGACTCTTCTCAAGATGGGCTACAAATGACCAATTAGCACAAGAAAAATGTCTGCATCACTAACCATTTGAGAAATGCAAATTTCTTGGGGGTTGGAAGGATGGCTTGGAGGCTGAGTGTATGTTTCAGAGGACCAGAGTTGGTTTCCCAGCACTCACTCTCAGCCACCTGTAGCTCCAGGGCCATGGGACCTGACACCCTCGGATACTGGTGGGGATGTGAACTCGTCCAGCTACCACGGAAATCAGCATGAAGCGTCTTCAAGACACTAGAAATAGATAGCGCATGTAATCCAGCTATAGCGTATAGAATGAAATACACCTGACTTCCTCAGTTTGGGTCCAGTGTTTCCATACTGCCCTCCGCTTCTTCCTTTGGGAATGTGAATGGTTGCTGTATGTCACAGTGTGGTGGAGGTTGCAACATGAATCATACAATAGCATATTCATCCAAGACTCCAGGTCAACACACCACAGAGACAGCCACACATCAGTGTCTATGGCAGCACTGTTAACAACAGATCAATTATGGAACACCCTAAGTGGTCTAAAATGGAAGAGTGGAAAAATAAATGTGATAATATATAAACACAATGGAACCCTTTCACGTTTATTTTTGAGAATTTCTAGTATGACAGCTATAGTTACATCATCTAATTCCGTGTCTTCCCTATTTCCTCTCAACCTCATGACCTCTTATCCTGTATTATACCTATATACCCGCATGTACACGCATGCACACATAAATACTACCTGCTGAGTCCATGCATCATGGTTAATATGTGTATGTGTTTAGGGATGACCACATGGGATTGATAACCTATTGGGAAGTTCATCCTTGGAGGAGACCGCCTCTCTCTTAGTACACTACGGTTCCCTAAGCAAGACCTGCACACAACACCTGTGGACATCACAGCAGGATTTTAGTTAGCCATGAAAAACAATGACATTGTGTCATTTGCAGGAAATAGATGCAACTGGAGTTAATTACATTCATTAAATTAAGTCAGTTTCATATTGAATTCTCTTTTGTGGATTCTAAATTTTTATGTAATAAAAATCACGTGTATCTATCTGACATGGAAGAAGTGACATTTTCTAGGGGAGCAGAGGGACTAATGGGAGGAGAAAGATAGGGAATATGGAGGTATGCTAAAAGTATGTCATAGAGTTGTATTCATTTATTTTATTCTTTTCTCGTACACTCCAACCACAGTCGCCCATTACTACCCTCCCCCTATTCTTTCCCCACCACCTCCCTTCTCCTCCAGATCCACCCCACACACCTCCCTTCAGAAAAGAAGAGGCCTCGCAAGGATCAACCAAACATGGCACAACAAGCTACAGTGAGACCAGGGTGCAAACTATCATTTCAAGGCTGGACAAGGTGACCCAGTAGGAGGAAAAGGGTCCCACGGGTAGATAAAAGAGTCAGAGACAGCCCCTACTCCCACTGTTAGGAACCCCACAAGAACACCAAGCTACGTAGCCATAACATATATGCAGAGGAGGTAGGTCAGACCCCTACAGGCTCCCTGATCTCTGTGAGCCCCCATGAATCCCCGTCAGATGATTCTATGGGCTGTGTTTCCTGACTCCTCTGGTTCCTCCGATCCTTCCTGCCCCTGCTCTGCAGGACTCCCCCAACTCTGCCTAATCCCAACCAGAATTCTAAAGGGGAAACAGAAGAGGCTCAGGGCAGCAAAGTCTGGCAGACCAGGAGCGTGGTTTTCTGAAGGTGATGCTGATAGCTGGGAATCCTGCAGGACACTTTAGAAACTTCAATAAAGTACAAAGCATCAAACGTTAGAATATATGAACATAAAAATAACAGTGAGGATTGCTATGCCCAATACAAAACTAGCGCAAGTCCCAGAGTGCAAAACCATCCACGCTTTGCCTCGGAGGAGGAGCTTGAGGACCCAGTTGCTCTCCTGCTCCTCCAGCTCCCGCTTCTGCCTCTCCACCTCCTGCCTCACCTTGGCCAGGTAGCACCTGTAGGCTTCCTGGTACTCACTGTAGCCACCATTAAGGAGCTCCTGGGCATGAAGGAAGAGGTCGTTGCTATGGAAAGAGCCCTCACACTCCTGCTCCAGCCCCCTCACCAGGGCCATGAGCTCTGCCAGCTGTCCCTGCTGCTCTTCCCCTGAGGCCCTGTTATTAAAGGCACAGTACCTCCTCCCACACTCGTGGACCAGGCTGCGCAGGCTGTGGTTGTCAGTGTGGGTCACAAACTCATCCAAAGTCTCATTTGCCAGGTCTTCCTTGTGGGTGAAGAGGACAATCATGTGCCTCATGACTCCTGCCCCGAAGATCTCCTTCACCCTCCTCACGGCTAGGGTGTCCTGAGCTGTGAAGCGTCCCAGCTGGGTCACCAGCAGCAGCACGTGGGGTCCTGGGGCACACAGCAGGTAACAATCTCCAATGTCCTTGTTCATGTCTTGGTTCTGGGCCTTTGACCCAAAGATGGGGGGCGTGTCTACCACTAGCAGTCTCCTTCCCTTCCATGTGCCCGTCTCTGCCTGGCTGGTCCTGGTCACTGACTGGCCTCTGAGCCTGGACTCGAAGGCTTGTCGGCGGAGGATGCTGTTCCCTGTGGCGCTTTTTCCACAGCCAGATAGACCCGCCAAGAGGATCCTCAGGGGCCCTGACCCTGGGGTGCAGCCATCTTCCTTTCTGCCTTTGGGGGTAAAGGGAAGCTCAGACATCAGAAATGACTCATGAAGAAGAGGACAAAAAACCAACAGGAACTAACGCAAAGCAATCAGGATTCGCCCCCTGTTTTAACCACTCACATCCACCACACACCACACACGCGTTTGTGGGATAAAGTGGCAGTCAGAGGCCAAGGCATCTTCCCCTAGGGATTCATGCTCCTGGCGGTCAGAGGCCAAGGCATCTTCCCCTAGAAATTCATCAACCCAGTTCCTACCGTTCTTCCAGGACTTTCTTTCTGTCCAAGTCTGAAGTGGTGAGCCCCTGCAGATAGCTCAGGGCAGTCTAGCGCTGGCCATTCTGTTTGTCTGTCCCTTATCTTCATCTCCTCCCACCATCCCTGGTGTCTCTTTTACAGGATGGTAAGGTTTTATCTTGTGGAACTTGGGAAGTTCCTTGCCTTGGGAAGCATGACAGCTAATGGCCTAAGACGTTCAGTTATCTGGTGGTTCATTTGCCTTGCTGTGGGTGTCTGAAGGGAAGCCCGTCCCTGTCTAGGCACTGAGCCGTGGTCCTTGACTGTTGAAAAGAAAGAGTCCCACCCCCGGCAGAATTCTTACCTGTGGAGAAGGTAGCTTTTTCACCTGTCTGAAGCATCTCCATTTTTTTATTTCTAGAAGAGAAAATATACAAAGAGTGTTCATATTGGATTTGGATATGATACGCAACACCAAACACAATATCCTGTAGAAAGGGACATCAGACCAAAGAAGGAACCGCTGGAGTCACATGCATGTCCTTACGGGTAGCTCTAAATGACCCAAAGGAGAAAGACCCACGAAGAGGGTACGTGTAATGCGATCACGTGGCATCGTCACCATGACTTGTCTTCAGCCCACAGGCAGAAGGAAAGTGGGCTGTGTACCCACAACAACAGTTAATGATGTTGCTCACTATTTCCTACTGAGCACATGGATGTCTGGGGTTCTGTGGGAACCCTGCCCCCAGCATCTCCAAGAGACAAATGTAATTCTTCCCTTGTTCCATGGCAACGGTCCCTCCTGCCCTGCCCAGAGCTTAGCTGAGTCCAGACCGCAGGACTTTCTCTGTCCAAACTGGGAAAGCCCCAGGCAAACCAGGATCAGTTACTCACCCAGGAATAGGGGTCTGTTGTGGGGTCAGACTGGGGAGTAATGGGTGCACCCAGGACACAGGAGGAAAGGCTAAGCCCTGCAGCTGCACAGCCAGTGCGCTGTGCTCCCGGGGTCATAGCGGCCCCTGTGCTCCCAAGGTCATAGCGGCTCCTGTGCTCCCAAGGTCATAGCTGCCCATGTGCTCCGGGGATCACAGTGGCCCCTGTGGTCATAGTGAGCCTGTGCTCTCAAGGTCATAGTGGCCCTGCTTCCAGCTCAGTCCTGGACTGCAGGCACCCTGAGGGTACCTCTCTTGCAGGGCCCTTCCCCTTCCTTTCCCTCTGTCATGTTCCTCACAAGCCTCTCTTGATCCTTGTCCTGCCCTACTCTCCCTACCTCCTGTACTAGGCAGGGAATCACAGTAAAACTACTTCCTAGCTTCCTTGCTGGAAGGTACCTGCACAGACCTTCCAAGACAATGCAGGGCCCTGCTTGGTCAAAGCTTCTGTGTCCTGGAGCCAGGTTCCAGGAGCAGGCCTTGTATTAGTCAGGGTTCTCTAGAGGAACAGAACTTACCAAACATATACACATTAAACATATATTCTATCCCATATTTTATGTATATGTGGAATAAAAAGGGAATTTATCAGAATGGCTTACATGCTGGGATCCAGTTAGTCCAACAATGGTGTCTAACAATGGAAAGCCCAGGAATCCACTAGTTTTTCAGTCCACGAGGCTGATGTCTCAGCTGGTCTTCCGTACACACTGGAATCCAGCCGCAGGCTCCGAGGCCAGCGAAGGGATGGACTCGCTAGGTGAGAGCGGGGTCCAGCAGGCGAAGAGAGCTTCCTTCTTCCACGTCCTTTCTGTAGGACACCAGCAGAAGGGGTGACCCAGATTAAAGGTGGCCCTCCCACCGCAAAGATCCAGATCAGATCTAAATTAAAGAATTTAATTAAGAAAAAAATCCCTCACGGGTGTGCCCAGCAATTTGAGTTTTATTAATTCCACATGTAGTCAAGTTGACAAGCAAGAATCACCAAAATAGGCCTGAAAGTGAACTTCTAATTATAGAACCTCAGGTCTTTGGTGGGTCAACACATTTTTTAGAACAAAACACGTTTGGGAATAGATGCATTTCTTAGGTGCCCTCTAATCTGAGACTGGCCAGACACCAACTGGGCAAGAAACATAATAAGCAAGTTAGGGATCCTTTAATTTTGATACTGAAGGCCAGAACCCAGCATTCATCTCAGTAACTTCCTTGTCGTTCGTGCTGAAGATGTTTTAGCTCCAGGGGAGACACAGCACCGACTCTGAGTCTGTCCCTGTGACCATGTCATGCTCCCCATTTCTTGGGTCTTTTCCCTTTGGGCCAGCAACTCCCTGTTTCTTGGCCTCTCTACTTGGCAGAAATACAGACGCTGCTATGGGGACTGTTGTATGCAGATTACCTTATAGCTGTGCTGGGAAGTGCAAGGCCCAGGTAAGAGGCTGGAGAGGCGAGTACCTTCAAGGGTAGGAGGGCTCATGTGCAGCCAGCTACAGAAAGGAGTGAAGGGGGTGGTGTTGATGTTTCTAAGCCAAGATCTGGGTACCCTGGATGCCCTGTGCTGCTTTACAGTCCTGTGAGGAGACCAAGACTCTGGAGGATGGGCTAAACCAGGCCGCACAACACTTCACGAAAGAGCAAGGGTGATACAACCACAGCTTCCTGGGTAGTGTGTCCCCAACTTAGGCTGATAGAATGGGGTCTCCCTCCGTGCTGCCTGTTGCCCCTAGGTGCTGACCAGTGCTCTCTCAGGCAGGACTACTCATACGGCACCTTTGGAAGCAACAGGTAGCGGGTCATTCTCCCAAAGTGAAAGCCTCAAACTGCTGCCGTCTCAGGATCCAGTCTGATCAGAAAGGGAAATGAAAGCAAAGGCGGAGCATCAGGGGTTTTCCCATTTCTTAAACCTTCTTTAGACTTGAGGACGTCTCAAATGCTCAGAGTTTCCCTCTCCTGTGCTTTCTCTAGTTGGAACCCACACACTTCCAGCGAAGGTCACCTTTTCTATTTCCAGGTTGCACCCTCTTTGCATTCTGTCCCCTTGGGGGATCTTATTTTAAGTCACCACCCTCCTGGGACAGCTCTGTGCCTTCCCCCAGCCCACTGGAAGCCAGTCATCAACCCGCCCCACCCACCTCACAGCCGTCAGTCCTCCCGCACATCTTTAAGTAGTCAGTGGAAGGACTGGTGGGTGTGCATCTGGTATTTTTTGTCCCTGGTTGGACCTCAGAGCTAGCAAAACTGGAAGGGCTTCCCAGTGCCCTCCTAGGGCACGCTCCCTGGCATTGCCCAGGACTGGGAGAGACTAGAGGAGAGATCAGGTTTAGGCCACGCTTGGAAACACTGTGAGAAGGTCGCAAATGTTGGCCTGGAGTGGATTATCTTAGTCTCATCTGACAAAAGGAATTATACCATTCTCTCCCGTGTCCTTGACCACTGCATCTTGAAGAGAAATGGTCCCTGATCGGAAAAACATGAGGGGCTGTGAAGATAAACCACTGTGCAAGGGCCATAGGGGTCACTTCCAGGAGCAACCTTTCCTGCTTATAACTTAGTTCTGGTTGCTTTGTCTGATCTTTTTTTTTTTTTAAGTGTATCTAAAACACAAGTTTTAAAAGTTTAATTAAAGCACAAAAATCGAATGCTTTATGTGAACAGATCAACCCGAGTAGCACCCTGACATCTTCTCCATCTTTAAAATGAAAGGCATTCCCTCCTGTCCAGCACTGTGAATACTCACCAAGAGAAAGGAAAGCAATGGGAAAGAAATAAGATGAAAACTCCAGGGGATGGGCGATGGGACACCCAGTCCAGCCAATCAGTGAGCACTGGATTCATGGGCCCTTGTCTCCATAGACACCATAGAGAGACTGGGGGATGCCTCAGGCTCACACATGAGGAGTGGAGTTTGTGTTCTCGGAGCCCTCATAAGAGATGAGTGTGACTGTGTTCATCCACAGCCCTGGCGCTGGGGGACGAGGTGGCATAGAGGTAGACCCCTGGGCTCCTTTAGATCCCTCTAGCCAATCTAGGCAGTGGTGGGTGAAGCCACTCGAGTGAGCCCCTGTGTCAAATGCAGGTGGAGGGTGATAGAAGATGAAATGAGATGTCCCTGCTCTCCTGCAGTGAGAACCCAAGCTTCAGGGCACTTCTCACCCACGGAAGGGCTCCTGCCCCAGACTGGATGGAGCAGATGTTCCTAAGGGAGTCTGGAATTCCTTTTGGACCATGGCTAGTGTGGGAATTTCAAACCACTCATGAGGCCAGTGCTCCATCTTCCAGCCCCGACACTAATTTCCCAGGTCACAGGAAGTACGGCTGCCCCGTCCTGAAGAGTGACTTCCCCTCTGCCAGCTTCTCCCTAGCCTCCAGACACTCAAAACAGCCTGGCTGAAGAGTCACGGGAAATTACTTTAGAAAGTAAGCCCATTCCTCTCCCTCCCTGGAAACTCCTGGCAGGAAACAGAGTCTCTAAGAGTCTACCTCCCCTGAGCCCCTAGTTGGGTATTGGATTGTCATCTTGAGAGAGAAAACCCACTGAGGTTCCACAGACAGGCCAGAAGTCCTCTGGGAGAATCCTTGGGGCACAAGATGCTATGGGCTCCCCAACTTTTCCTATAGTAAAGAGATCAAGTGCCTTGCCCTTCAGGTCGACACTAATTGTTACCGATAGATTTAAGGGTGAGCCGGGGAGAGGAAAGTGTGCGCACGCGTGCAAGCACACACACATACACGCTGCATGCAGTGTGTACACATACACACACACATACACACACATACACACACACACATACACACACACGCTGCATGCACATGCACACACACATGTACACACATACACGCTGCATGCAGCGTGCACACACACACACACACACACACATGTACACACACCCTGTTACCTGGTGGGTGCTGGAGGATCTTTCAATACAAGGTCTACATGCCCTGTGACTCACCTTCCTGTCCTAGGCAGTCTCTCACATTTGCTTTCGATCTCTTCATGAAAATACAAGAGCTATGAGAAGAAAAAAAAAGCGGCTCACAAAATTTGTCTGCCAGAAGGAGAAAGATGTCATCCCTGGGGCACAGGAAGGAGCAGTGTGCACAGGTTTCTCGACAAAGCTGTGCTCAGAGGGCCACGGGGAAGAGGTTGCTTTTTTTTTTTTTTTTTTTTTTATAAATAAAAGCCAGTTCTCTTTCCTGCCCCACCCTTGTCGCCCACACCACTGAGATGCTCTCGTGAAGGACTCATTCTCTACAAGACTAAGAGAGTAGAGAAGTCTAGAAGCACAGCATCCCAAGCCTCCAGCTTCTCACCTCTGGGCCAGGCAGAGAGCATACATCTCCCGGCCCCTGCATTCACGTTTGCCTACAGTGGAGACTAAAGGGGCTTTCCGGGGCCCACTGGACAAACCAGCGGGTAGCACGCTTGAGCCAGGCTATGATCCCCTAGCTTCTGGGGAGAATGTGGGAGGACAGAGCTTGGATTGTCTCACCTGGTCAGATCTCGTCTCCACAGGACCCATGGAGCTAGTGACCCAAGCAGTGGTCTGACTTAGGCAAAGCAACAAGTGTTTAGGGAATCCCAGGTCCCTTCTGTCCCTTCCTGCTGTCCTGCTGGGCTCAGGATTGCTAGGGTGAGCCAGATATCCTCTCTGGAAAGTCATTCAGGACCCCCACTTCCTGGTGTGTTTGAGTTCAGATAATTGTTTTTATTTTCTGTGTAAGTGTTCTGCCTACATGTATGTAAATGCCCTTTACACATGCTTAGTGCTTGCAGAAGTCAGAGAGGCTGCTGGATCCCCTGGAACTGGAGCTATCAACAGTAATAAAGACTATCTGAACTACCGAGCCATCCCTTCAGTCCCAAGTTCAGATGGTTTAAGAAAGTCTAAGCAGGAAAGTGGGTTATGAGTGACTTGGGCCCCAGCTGAGTGTGGAGAGCAGGGTGTTCCCGTGCAGGGACACACACAGTAGCATTTTTGCAAGGAAAGCCAGGCTTGACTTCCACAAGCCTTCTCGAATGCAACTTTAACTTTTGAGATAATCGTGGGTATTATGTTGAGTGAGGTGGAGGCTGTGACC